CGAAATAATAATCTACTACGTAAGTAATAATATAAGAAATAATAATAATAATAATAATAATAATAATAAAAACCAATGGCTGACAGCTCGAAATCAAAATGCAACATATAAATGCGCGACACACATTGAGACAAAATAAAAATGATCCATTAATTGAAAACATGGATCGTTTTCAATGTGTGTCGATGCCTAGTGACCCACACAATCTGTTCCCTCGTATGTTTACAATTCATTCTTGTATTCCAGACGTACATGACACACGAAATAGTGGATCAGAATAATACAGTTCACAGAAATGCTGGGTACAGGCGTGCAAAATGAATAATAATTATTTTGAAATTTAAAAATAAACGAACAATTCAATTGTCAATTTTAAATATTGAGAAAGTAATTTGTATTCTCTTTATAAAATCGATATAAAAAAAGAACGAAAGATCAAAATGTAAAATTGAAAATTTAAGAATAAAAAATCTTTTCTAGAAATTTGAGAATTAAATTTTTCCAAGGAATGAAATATTTTTCGAAGAATATTCGTTTTTTTATCGCATCGATCTCGGTTCATTAATATCGAAAACATAATATCCGCAAAATCAAATTGTAAGCAGAATTCTAAATAAATCACGAGCTTATGCAACAACCAGTGCTTTAATTGTTATTAAATTTCGTGATAATTTTGCAATTGTAATAAATTTTATCCGCTAAAACAATTAGGTTATTTACGATCTATGCCACAGTGCACTTCAAAAATATTCTGTACCAAAATTATACGTTAACAAAATCTATTCTAAAAGAGAATAATTAAAAAAAGAGATAAATTAAAATATATGGTTAATTGTTCTTCCATGCTCCAGAGTTTATAATTTTGCAGTGAATCAAACTTAAGAAGCTTCGAATGTAATTAAAATAATTAATAATGAATATTTAATGATAATTAACAATTTAAGAAGATTATATTTAAATTACAAAGGATAATTTGCAAGATCAAAAATTGGAAAATAAATATTTACAGTAAATTATTTCTTTGTCTGAATCCAGCAAGTCTATACACGAAACAGAATATATACTGTACTGACTATATAGAATAGTGCTTTTGTCGTAAGATATTTATCTTAGTCTATAACTCATGTAAATAAAGTAACTAAAAATATTTAAAGAAATTTTACAACACGATCAACACTATCTACACTAGCTTCATAATTTTCAATTTTCTTTATTTCATTTTGTAGTATAAATAAAAATATCTTTTTCTTTCCAAATTATTTACATATATTTTTGCATCAAAAAAAATTACATAATCAAATCTATTACTTATAAAATCAAAAGAATCTGTTATCGAATGCTTAAAGATCAAAATTTAGTCAAAATAATCACAAAAATTATTTATAAAAATTAATATCTTATATCTATTTTAAAATTAACGCCGAAGACCAAAAAGAAATATACATATATACTATATGTTGGATATATATATTGATATATATTGAATTATTAAATTTTATTTCTCAAATATCATGACTGGATAAATTCTATTTACAATAACATATATTATAGCAAGACAAATGAACGTTGAAATAATTCATTCGCGAAATAACAATTGATATTTTTTATGCAAAATAAACAGAATAAAAAGAAAATATCCTCTTAGACCAATGTTAACGTTAAGGAAAAACTTAAAGTATAGTGTAAAGCAAAAACGTAGCGAAGGAGTAAAGCTATACTCGATGCAATGTCTTTGAATTGATGAATATAGCAAGCGTGCTCGCCTTTTTGATGAAACTAGGAGAGTGCCAAATAGATTTTGAAAGTTTATACGTGTGTATGCGAATATTAGCGTTGTATTCGCTAAATATGGCGAATATATTTGCGAATGTTATTGTCAAATTTTTATATAGTGTGTTATATCTATAATAATGTAACAAGCTTTATTTTGCTGGATTGATTGTTAATTATATACGTAAATTTTTTTTTTTATATACTTATGTGTAATTTCTTTGTATAAATTTTTTTGTAAATAGTAAAAATGCAGATTTGAATTTAATACCGAATTTTCGTATAATATTTTGATAATTTTAATAATTTTTTCAATTTTAACAATTTTTCTTTTTTAATTTATAATTCATTTAATTTTTATCTATGCATAATTTTTAAATATTAATGAAATTAAATTGTGCATCATAGAAGAAACTCTCGTATAATACGATTCATAAATTACAACCATTATATTATAATAATAATAATATATTTTTAACAATTTTATTTTTCTAAGAATTAATTGAACACGAAATCTTAATTTTTGTAATAAAAAAAATCAATATTTAAAAAATTAAAAATTCATTCCAGCAAAATAAATTATCGATAATTTAAGTATAATATTATACGATGAATATATACAGATGTCTGATACGAGAGATCTACCTAATGTGTTTTAAAAAGTGTGTATATGGTAGATGTAATAACTGTATTAATGTCTCATAGAAATGTATAACATTCAATGGTGCTTTGGTTTCTCATCTTTAAGTTCTTAACGATATAAAATTAACTTAAAATAAAATCGAAAAAACACCCTTTAAAATTTCTTGTTCCCATCTTATATATGTAAGTCGAGTGTTTTTTTTTTTTTGGTTGTAGTAAGTTACAGTGCAATAAAATTTATAGAAACGACCCAAAAAGAAAATCTTGAAAAAATTTGCTTTGTACTACTTTGTAA